AACTTATTTACAATTAATATGAAAAAATTTCTATTAAGACTAAAAAGGTACTGTATAATTTTAAATTAATTGTAAATTTCGGCTTTGCAAAAACAAAGATTCTAAAATAGTGTAAATACTACGGTAAACATATTATGAACTTCCACAGTGCAATACGTAAACATCTAACCTCCCATTTGTTCCTCCTGCTTCATACGTATTTCAGCTTTCTTTGATGAGTCCAGATAAAAATATCCAAGAACAGTGTACTAAAAAAACAAACTCCTGACAAGAACCGAGCAGCTCCTGCTCCGCAAAACAATTTCCCGCAAACGGAAATTCATAGATTTTCAGACGTCGTATATCTCACCATTGGCGATAATAGACTCCACCAGTAAAAATATGTTACAGCTCTAACTTTCAACAATTTAGAACCATTTATTACGGATGTTTCCTTTAACTATGATGAAGAAAAACACGATGAGTCGGTGTCCCGGAAAAAAAAAAAGGAACTCTACGGAAGCGCTAACTCTACTCGGTCACTAACAAAATCATTTACCACTTTAAAAACACGACCTTCTACACACCATCAACTTTCCGCTCATGACTACTGGTCGCTTCTATTAAACAGAATCAACCACAAAATTTGACTCTTCAACATATTCTGCCAACAGACAATAAAACCCCGAGTCATTCACCCAAAAATCAAATTTAATTATTTACCTTGCAATGGTAACAACATTTAATGAAATAACTTCTGGCAATCTCGGCCATCACATAACAACACAACGCTTTAACAAAGCAAAAAACCAAACTGGAACCCACCCCCTACCTCATCATCCAAAGCAGCTTCAATTCTTGAATTTTTTGTGCCATAGATCGAGTCCCGGAAATTCATAACCCTCTTGTTTCACAGCTGATAGAAGGACAATAACCCAGCTGACTTTTTTGAATCCATCAATTCTGATCTGAAGTAAACGCCTCCCAGCATCCCAAAACCTTCAAGTCAAACAAATGAGGCGCAAGTTTGTCAAATTTAGCGAGTCATCAGCAGTCTCAAAAGTGAACAACTTTTACTGAGAAATCGCAATAACAGAAACAAGCAACAACAAAAGTTTGACGCGATAATCATGCGCCTTTAAGAGATTAAACAAGCCTGAAACGTCTCAACTATTATAATCTAAAACCATAAAGCAGAATTTAAAATGATGCGGCAGCTGAGACGTCAAAACGGGTATTTAAAGCATTTTTCAATCCGTGGCTAACTATAATGATTAAGAAGCCTTAAAATATCTAACAATTTAAAAGAATTCCCTTCCTATTGAATTCTCACTGGTAAAAAAGAAAAAAAAACATTTAAGGGTTAAAAGTGACAAGTCCAGTGGATCTCATTTATACGAATATTTTTGATGCACCTTTCAAACCACCTCGCAAAAACTCCTTGTTCTTCCTATCCACGCAGTTCATAGCAGCAGTAAAAACCTCATCAAGGAAAAAAACTTACTCATTCCTGCAGAACTGACTTTTGCTAGTCTACATCACTCATTTACAACAGCGATTAGAACAGAGAATAGAGTAAATGCAGCGTAAATAGCTTAAAGTGAGAGATAGATGGAAAGAGAAAATGATAGCGTGAATGAGTCAACGAATGTCACTGAACCACATTTTAGCCATTCACAGTAGTTAAAATTAACTTTAGTTACATATCTCCACCACCAGGTAAACCCGGCATAGAACCACCACTTGGCGCGCGGGGATTCTTCACTGTCTGATCAATGCTTAGGATAAGGCATGCTGCTTCAGTAGCCGCGACAATAGCATTCTAAAATCAAGACTAACATGAAGTTTAAATAGAACCCTTTCCCCATGTAAATTCCATTTCCATTCGTTAAAAACATTAATAGAATTAGAAACTATTTTTGAAAAATAAATTATTGGACTTAAATACTTTCCTAAGTAAAAAAAGTAATAAAATAAGTACTTATGTCGAACATTCGAAGAATTACCATTTTTACAGCTGTGGGCTCCCAAATACAGGCCTCCATGTTGTCTTTTACAGATTCAGCGTGGATATCAATTCCGTACCACTGTTCACCCTTCGCATGTTTGTACCGCAGTTTATTCAAGATATCTGTCGCGTCAATACCAGCATTATAACAAAGCTGTTGAGGAATAATCTATAAAAAATAATCAAAAAATAAAATAAAGTAAAAGTGAATTTTACGAAACGTGAATAGAGCATTACCAAAATGACAAAAAATAAAAAGAAACAATTCAATTGAAACCGTACTTCAAACATACGCGCAAATGCTTGCCAGAAAAATTGTTCTCTACCGGATATAGTTTTTGACACCTCCCTCAAATGGTGTGATAATTCCATTTCAATAGCTCCACCACCTAAAGCCTAAGAAATAAAATAAAGAAAAAAAGCGTGTTACTTACTAAACCTTAAATAAAAACCTTCATCTGAAACGCAAAGTAATTTGATGTGCCAAACTTGTTGACAATTTTAGAATGTTCGTATAACTTTAGGGCAATCATCTGTTTACCTGCTACTATTGAATCGTTCTTTTTGGCCCTTCTGACAATCATTATCGCATCATGTAAAGAACGTTCCGTTTCAGCGATGAACTGCTCAGCGCCACCACGCAATAATACTGTACAAGCATGCGCCTTAGAACAGCCGATGAAAAAATTAAACCTGGAACAAGTTGGCTGCTTAGATATTTAAAGTATAAAAAGCTCTAAGCCATATTTTAAAGTTAGATCAAAATTATCAGGTTTATGAAAAACCATAATAAACAAAAAGCATTGCAATACAGCTTTTCTAACAAAAAAGTTGAAAGCAATAAGCATTACTTAAAAATATCAATTAATCAAAAAATGCCTTAAACTGTTTAAACTTCTAAAACACCAAAATGCCAGACAAAAGAACTAAGCAAAGTGCGCATCAGGAAAAAAGAGAATAAAGCTCGAAAGAGGACTGCTTCATCTAAGTAACAGGGAAAAACAAATAGCTTTACCTTTCACTCCCAACCTGTTGTTCATAAAACTCGTTGCATGTGCCGAGAACAGTTTTATCAATCTGAGTCACAGTCGTCAAAATGGATCCTCCACAGGCTGCCATAACGCGATCCATGTCACCTTGTTCAACTCGCCCGGCACAGAACATATCTCTAAACAACAAATTAGCAAGAAAATTAGTAATATTTGGGAAAGCTGCTATGCCCTCTTACCGATCAGCAAACCACTGAGTAGCAACATCACCAATTGGCAGTTTAGAAAGAACAACTTTAGCGCCTGCTTCATGAATCTTCTTCAGCTTCTCATACAGTATAGTCCATTCAGCGTTAACGATCTGCAATCAAGAAACTGTCCTAATAAAATAGAGCACAAATATAATAGAAGACAGTTTAACCAGAAGAAAAAAAAAAGCCCCAACACTAGTAACGGTACAGTAAATTCAACACCTACATTTTGAAACTCTTCAACATTGCTTATTCTCATCTCAGCGTTGTCCTTCTCAGCCTTCAACTCCAACTCAACGTTTAGGAGAGCAATGTACGGATTTTTATAATATTTAGGTTGCATTTCAAATCCAGCATAACTGAATGCTTTTTTAAAGGCTACTCCTTTTATTAATGCAGAATCCTGAAATTTCAAATTTGATACAAAGCTAAAATGTTCATATAAATCACTTTATAAAGCAAGAAAACTAACAGTCAGGGAGCCTCCACTAATTTTCTTTATACCGATCATGTCCACTGACAGTCGTTCATCAAGATATCCAACGGCATCCACTGCTATTTCAGCAAAGAACTGCCTTTCTTGACTCACCTAAAAAGTGAACAGTCATTGAGCAACGAAACCACAGAACTGTAAACCGGAGTGAAAAAAACAAAATAATATTCAAAATACCTATATCAAAAGTAAATAACACCTAGAGATAAAATAAAAACATACCAATTTACTGCTAAGGGTAGTAGCAGCACACCGGACAAGCATATCGTGCGCTGCAGCCTCACTCGAGATCTTTACAGACAACTCGTTCAAACGTTTAACAGCCTGAAAGAACAGTACCTTTGCACACTACATTATCTTGAAATCTTAATATACTATTTTAAAAAACTTTCAAAAACCATGAAATGACCGCAAGCAAACCCACTTCTTCAGATGCCTTCCTATACGCCCTGATAATCAGCTGCGGACTCACGCCATCTTCAACAAACTGACGCGAACGCTTTAACAGTTCCGCTGCCAGTATAACCACTGTAGTATAAATAGAGGAAACCATGTTTGAAATAAAAATTTTTTCTAAGCATAGCGCAGATATTCAAATTCAAATATTAAAATGAATGATTCAACAATGAGATACCCGATGTAGTGCCGTCACCAACTTCAGCATCTTGACTCTTCGCAATATCCACCATCACTTGAGCGGCAGGATAGACTATATCCAAAAGTTTTAAAATAGTAGCACCATCATTTGAAATAGTCGTTTTGCCTAAAAGGAACCTGGTTGAAAAAATAAAATGAATATCTAACTACGAAAATGATGCTTCAATTACCTTTACTATCAACTATTAATTTATCCATTCCACGCGGTCCTAATGTGGTACGTATGCTATCAGCCACAACACTGCAAGCATTAATATTGCTAAGAATCTGCTGCTTTCCAAATTTTGCCTCCGTACCCTCTTTTAAGAGGATTATGGGAGCACTCATCATAGCCATTTTGTAAACCGCAAGTAATGAGACTTCTGGAAAACGAAAACTTGTACCAGTATTATTTCAAAACAAGAAACTTTCAAACGCAGATTATACCGCAGTAATGATACTGCAATTGAAAAACCATCCTATTCACACTTGGCGGTCAGTAGGCACACGTTTACTGGAGAGCAGCAAACAATGAAGACTCTAACGTTGTGGATATTGCTTGTCCTCTTTTGCGAAACAAAATTTTATAAAGCATAATTCTTC